TCGAGGGATGGGGCACCCACAGCTTCTCTGGGCAACCTGTCCCAGTGCCTCCCCACCCTCTCCGGGAAGAATTCCTTCCTGATATCTAATCTAAACGTCCCCTCTCTCCATTTAAACCCGTTACCCCTTGTCCTGGCGCTACAGACCTTTGTAAAAAGTCCCCCCCAGCTTCCTTGTAGGCCCAAGACGGATGCAACTGTTACAACAGCAATGGACCGATGCAAAACCGAGGGCGCGATGCCCGGAGCAGGGGTCGCCAAAGCGGGGTGGGTAAGATGATCCAACGGTTTGTGGGAATGAGCTTCAGTAGTACACGTATGTAATTTATAAATTAATAAATATAAGGAAAGGTCTCCCATCCTACACTCTCCCTGGAGAAGCCTGCACAGCACGTCCAGCGCAGAGTCAAACTGCGTTGCCTTTCACGTGGTAAAGGCGAGGGCGCGCGGCGGGTTTGCACCTCGCCCACACCTCTGCCGCATGAAAAGGGTATCACTACTGCAAGGAGTCAGCTGGGATCAAACGTACTGCTTATCAAAGTGCACCAGTCTCTCAAGTTGTGCGTTCTTTGCCGACCAGTGACCACTGCAGGTTGCAAATACCATTTCCACGCTGCGGAGCAGGGCTGGAGACAACCTGCTGCTTTGTTTTAGTATGTTTTCCTGCAATACTTGGGTTCGGGTGTTTTACCCATGCAAAACGAGAGAGTTGAAGGTTTCTGACCAAGCTGACAGAGAACCTAACCTGCCACTTGACGAGGTGCTACCAACTGCATTAACCAGCTGCTACTCAACCTCCTGCTTGGCCAAAGGGAGAGGGCAACGAGCTGGCGGAGCCAGCCCTCCGGGTGACTTACAGCAAGTGTCTGATCTCCGTTTTGAAGCTCGCCAGCGCTGCCTGGTGGACCCCGTTCTTGGTTATTAAAAGCTCGTTTTCCAGCGCCAGCGTCAGCTCAGTCAAGTTCACCTTCCCATCCAAGCTGAAATCCAAAGCCTGCAAAACAACACGCCGTCAGAGCGGAACGAGCCTTCCCGCCCTGCAGGGCCTGGAGGCATCGGTACGTGAAGTGATGGAATAACACAAGGAAGCTCAGAGAAGATCTCT